CCCCCCCTGGCACGGCTCCATTCTCCTGCCGGCTAGCTTCTGCAGGCGACAGATGGAATGTAAGCGGCTGGGAGCAATAGTCGGACTGCTATTGGCTATTTTCATTTGAAAACGCCCATAGCAGACTGGCTACTGAAACCCCGCCCACTGAGCAGAAGAGTGGACTTGAGAGATAAAGTTGTCTCTCTGTTCCGCTCCTATGCTCAGTGGGCAGGTGCAATAGCAAGCCAGCTATTGGCTTTTGCAATTTGAAATAGACAGGGGAGGGGGGTGAGTGGTCTGGGCAGCGCCCTAGGCAACAGTGCGCCCTAGACGGCTGCCTAGTTTGCCTAGTGGCAGCACCGGCCCTGATTGCACCACTGATTGAGCATTACAGTAACATGCAGTAACACGTGCACTTGACCATGCATTACAGCAACATGGGCAAGTTATAGCCCAAAGGGGGCGGTGTTTTGACTGAAGTGGGTGGAGACTATTTATGTTAATTTAAAGTAGACAAACTTTGTAAGAACTCATTACTGTGAGGTCAGAATGTGTCCCCCTACATAGCAGGAGGTGGCACATGTGGAGGGCATGGATTATAATGCATAGAAATCTTTGCCTTGCTTCTGTCATGTGACTAACAAAGATATAAAAGAATGGTAACATTTCCGTACCTGCATCTGGTCCGGCTGAATAACAAATCCGGTCTGTAAATAGAATTGATTAAAAAAAAATAATTAGCATTCCCGGGGCAGCATCGGGGGACACAAATGTTTCCGTTTTTTTACATTATCTTTAAGCCGCACGGAGAGATCTCCGAAAACAAACCGCACAACGAAATTCCAGACAGAGGTGGAAATGAGCAATGAATGTGAACACGAGTCTCACAATCCCGATACGGGGACAGCTGACTGAACTGTGACAATAAATCTTCACTTACGAAATCCGCGTTCATTCTCGTGGCCTGGAGAGTCCATCGTGATCCCTGAAAGGTAACGAATATTGTGTGAATGCGCGGACCGCTGCCAAGGTGCCGGTAGCTGTGAAAACAACCTGAGACAACCTGATATGTGCACTGGAAGGACGAGGGCCAGGACCCGAAATGTCCCCCCAACTCAGCTGATGTATCAATGCGATGCTTGCATACCCACCATCAGCAGGACTACCCAAACCCATGAAGTCTGCTGCTGCTCCTTCACTGTCCAATCACAGGCTGGGGGCGGGGAAGTGACCAAGCTGCGTTGTTCTAACTGCAGCAGGGATAGTTCAGGGCACCAGGCTGTCTGTGCTATGCGGCTGACATGTGTAAATCTCAGGACTGGATGAACAGAAATAGAAATCATTCGGCACTTAAAACAGATGCCATATAATTGTATTTCATCTTTCAGCTTCGGCTCCACCTTAAATGATACATTTTATAAGGATAATTTATATCTTTGTATATATATATATATATATATTTACATGTTTGGAGTTCATGTTTTATCTTTCTAGTCAGTCTTTCATCTACCTACATTTGTAGAAAACAGAGATAAGATTCCACTCCCAGTTTTCATAGTCTAAACTTCTGTACACTTATAAGTGATGGAGGGTCAGCAACCCAGAGGCAGCTAAATGGTGGATTCAAAGTGGCGCAGATCACAAACTAAATGGGTGGATCAGCTTGGGCTGAGAGGGGGAACTTGGGCTGAGTGGGGAACCTGCGCTGAGTGGGGGAACTTGGGCTGATTCAGGGAACTTGGACTGAGTGGGTGAACTTGGGCTGAGTGGGGGAACTTGGGCTGAGTGGAGGAACTTGGGTTGAGTGGGGGAACTTGCGCTGAGTGGGGGAACTTGGGCTGAGTGGAGGAACTTGGGTTGAGTGGGGGAACTTGCGCTGAGTGGGGGAACTTGGGCTGAGTGGAGGAACTTGGGTTGAGTGGGGGAACTTGCGCTGAGTGGGGGAACTTGGGCTGAGTGGAGGAACTTGGGTTGAGTGGGGGAACTTGCGCTGAGTGGGGGAACTTGGGCTGAGTGGAGGAACTTGGGTTGAGTGGGGGAACTTGCGCTGAGTGGGGGAACTTGGGCTGAGTGGAGGAACTTGGGTTGAGTGGGGGAACTTGCGCTGAGTGGGGGAACTTGGGCTGAGTGGAGGAACTTGGGTTGAGTGGGGGAACTTGCGCTGAGTGGGGGAACTTGGGCTGAGTGGAGGAACTTGGGTTGAGTGGGGGAACTTGCGCTGAGTGGGGGAACTTGGGCTGAGTGGAGGAACTTGGGTTGAGTGGGGGAACTTGCGCTGAGTGGGGGAACTTGGGCTGAGTGGAGGAACTTGGGTTGAGTGGGGGAACTTGCGCTGAGTGGGGGAACTTGGGCTGAGTGGAGGAACTTGGGTTGAGTGGGGGAACTTGCGCTGAGTGGGGGAACTTGGGCTGAGTGGAGGAACTTGGGTTGAGTGGGGGAACTTGCGCTGAGTGGGGGAACTTGGGCTGAGTGGAGGAACTTGGGTTGAGTGGGGGAACTTGCGCTGAGTGGGGGAACTTGGGCTGAGTGGAGGAACTTGGGTTGAGTGGGGGAACTTGCGCTGAGTGGGGGAACTTGGGCTGAGTGGAGGAACTTGGGTTGAGTGGGGGAACTTGCGCTGAGTGGGGGAACTTGGGCTGAGTGGAGGAACTTGGGTTGAGTGGGGGAACTTGCGCTGAGTGGGGGAACTTGGGCTGAGTGGAGGAACTTGGGTTGAGTGGGGGAACTTGCGCTGAGTGGGGGAACTTGGGCTGAGTGGAGGAACTTGGGTTGAGTGGGGGAACTTGCGCTGAGTGGGGGAACTTGGGCTGAGTGGAGGAACTTGGGTTGAGTGGGGGAACTTGCGCTGAGTGGGGGAACTTGGGCTGAGTGGAGGAACTTGGGTTGAGTGGGGGAACTTGCGCTGAGTGGGGGAACTTGGGCTGAGTGGAGGAACTTGGGTTGAGTGGGGGAACTTGCGCTGAGTGGGGGAACTTGGGCTGAGTGGAGGAACTTGGGTTGAGTGGGGGAACTTGCGCTGAGTGGGGGAACTTGGGCTGAGTGGAGGAACTTGGGTTGAGTGGGGGAACTTGCGCTGAGTGGGGGAACTTGGGCTGAGTGGAGGAACTTGGGTTGAGTGGGGGAACTTGCGCTGAGTGGGGGAACTTGGGCTGAGTGGAGGAACTTGGGTTGAGTGGGGGAACTTGAGTTGAGTGGGGGAACTTGTGCTGAGTGGGGGAACTTGGGTTGATTTGCTAGCCATGGGACACTTTCTCGATATATCCATAAATTATGTGAAGAGTTGATCTGCTATAGGGCCCCTTGTGATTTTGTAGGTGCCCCCCCCCTCCCCCCCACAAGAATTACCTGCTGGTCAAATAGAGCCCAGAACATCGGGAGGGGGATGTACAGGAACAGAACTTTGGTCACCATTTTCACTTCTGTGATCAGTTTTTTCTGAAAAAATAAAGAAATGGAACAATGTAATTGGAAACAAAAAACAAACGAAAGCTGGAGGAGGACACAGGAAATAAAAGAATTACAGAGCAGAGTATGAGATTGTAATGATGAGGATTCATTTATGAAGAGTTTCTTTGTAACACATTTGTATAGAATGAATGAACATAGTGGTGATAAATCTCCTGGTGGCTTCTAATAGATCGCTCATGTGAAAGTGGAGAAGGTCTGACACCTCGGTCAGGTTTTTAATGCTGGAGAAGTGGGAAAAAACAAGCGCTGAGGGGTTACTCCTTCCTTATAATGAGGATTCTAAAAGTATAATGTTACTTATTGATTGAAAGAAACCCGACACATTTTGAGGATCTGCACCCCATTCATCAGGGCTGAGCAACAATGCACATGTGCATATGTATGAGATAAAGTGCTACACTAGCTGGGGTGTATATCAGGTGAATTTCAAGTGGTGTGTATGTTTGTTTCCTGTATCTCCTACACACAAGGCTTAGATACCTTGACTCTGAATACTGGGCTAACCTACATGGAGTTCCTCTTTAAAGTTGAGAGATACTTCCTTACTATTTCTGGCTGTACAATCTCCTTGAGATCTACCACGTAGTCCCTGATTGTATACAGGTTCACTGGGTGGTCTGGGTAGGTCCTCATAGTTCAAAGTTTTGGTAAATCTAAAGATGATTGTGTAAAAGCTTGTACAGTCAGATTGTAATGTGTACAGTGACCTCCAGAGTGGTTTCTCATTATGAAATAATACTGTTTGGCCTGCTGGAGGT